CTTTGAATCATCGAAGGAAACACGTTTTCGTCTCTCATCAAAATAGTATGTTTCAGATTTTTTGTTTTTTGCTTCTCAAAAACGCTAATTAAAACCACCTTAAAAATATTCACAGTACAAGTTTATGAACTATAATCTTTTCTGTTAACTGTGTCAAACATCTCTAGTAACCAGAAATCAAAGACAGTAAATAAAGTGGACTACTGATTCCTGTGCGTTGTGTAAGTGATTGTTAGATCTTACAAGCTAGAAAAGACTAGTAGCGGCCAAAGCACAGGATTTAATCTCTCTAATCATAGAATCCAGCGTATTCCATTTCGCTGAGGACAGTCCAGGTAGCGTTGCGCCGTCCCTAATTTCGAGCCAACGACCACAGGAAGGAAATCATCCAGCAACAACAACTTCCTTTTGTTTGCTTTACAATTACCTATTGTTGTTTATAATTTGTATATTTTTAACACCAGGTGTATCTAATGCTAATATGAGTATTGCAATACTGTTATCCACAATTCTATCATTATACGCTTAAGGACTTCTAAACTTGAATGTATGAAAACCGTACAAATCTTGATTATAACATCGTAAATTACATGCTCGACGTTAAATCGTAAACCATGGTAGCGGTTTATAATAGAGATCGCCCATTTGTCCTTCTTAATTAATATTTAATATTGTTTCGCCAGCCTACGGCAAAAATGTATTAAGTATATTTGACTACCTAGCAAATAACAGCGGCTGTATAACCGTTCACACCCAATCGTTTTAATATTGTCTGTGGTTTATATGGAGCCTCATAATCTACGACATTCATATTACCGTGTGTGTAATTTAATGTTTATATGGCAGGCATGACACCTGCACCATAGCGATTATTAACTTATTATTGTAACGATATTGACTTCGCGTATCATTTGTTTATGTATATGGTTCCTGCCCTTTCGAACACAACGCTGCTAACAGGATCACAGTTTGTTTGTTGTTGTTTTTTACAACTGCATGATCGATTTAGACCATGTTACACAAACAGCTAGAGCTAGGCTGTCTCCCACAACAAGATTATTTAAACCATACTTTAAAAGATAGCAACAAGCTCAGTTTCGAGTATTGAATCGGCAATCACGGTGATGGCTGATGATAAATGTCGAATTATTGCCAAAACTGCGTGGTTGCGAATTTTATGAAATACTGCATATATGGTAGCCATCCTTGAAGCTGACTATAAGGAGTGGCAAGAATCGTGCAAACAGGGTATGGCGAAAATGTTGGC